TGTTTGTTTTATGTTATGTATTTCTGCTTTATGTATTTTGATTTAATTCTACTATGTATTAGCTATATATCCATACTGACGATATTAACGTGTTTTATGTTTTCCACGTATTTGATCATTTAAGCGCGTTTGGTTGCACAGATACGTAGCTTGCCTTCCTCTTCGGTGAATTAAAGTTAACATACATCTGGTGTGTAATTTTTAATTCTAGCATGATGATTTAGGTGTTTTAGTAGTGCCTGATTTTTTTATAGGTATTATATGAGCTTTTGGCCTGTTTTTATTTGTTATATTTATTGTGGCGAAATTGATGTTAACTTCCCGTTTTGATTCGGTTGATCGTGAGATTCATTCAGCTGTTTATGAAGTATATCTTGTATGTATGTATAGAAAATTAATACTTAAACAGTCAAGCAAAATATAATCAAAAGGAAGGACAGCGATAAAAACAGTAAATCCAAACCTGTAATAAATGACATTTAAATGAACAAAACAAAAAATAAATAAATTAAAGACGCTACATAAATTAAAAGGATCCCCAGAGTATAGGCTATGATGTGGGATATAAAGTGTGCCCTGGGTCTTGGAGGTGACTGATAAAGTAGGACCCATATTGCGGTGGGGTTACACTGTCTACCAGTCTTCACCTCTGTTCGCCAGGAGAGCGAGAAGTGGGTGTAAAATTTGTAATAAATTACAATACTTCATTATTAATGTTGAAATATTGATGGAAAAAATTAACATTCAATGGATTTAATAAAGAAACTAAATAAAATTATTAAAATATTTTGTGATTAATATAAATATGTATTAAATAAATATTAAGAAGTAAAAATTAAGGCGTTTTTGCTGAAAGTTTCCGATAAATATTTTTATTTTTTAACAAGGTCGATTAAAAACTTGGCACTACTTTTATGCGGAAGAACATCTTATCGCATATAAAGGCTCTTGTAATGTCTGAAAAATTGATAGTTACAGTGGATTTAATGGATGGTGGTTGGGAGTTATACTAATTAGTTTTGATAACTTGGTTGGGCTTTTATAACTCTATACTAGTATAATTTATCTACTGTACTACTAATTAACTTAAATTAGTGCTTTACTACTATAATGGGGGTTGGAATGCCAACCTCAGGAGGTAAGTTTATCTTACTTACCCCAAGTGGTAGTACCTTATTTCGTTTTTCTTTTCATCTTCCCACAACTCTCTGGAGGATGTGAAGGGTGATGTAGATGTGGAATGTTGTGAGCTTGAGCACCCACGACTTGCTCTTCAAACTTGTAGACCCCCCCCGTGGCACAGCGGTATGTCTGCGGACTTACAACGCTAGAAACCGTGTCTCGATACCCGTGGTGGACAGAGCACAGATAACCCATTGTGTAGCTTTGTGCATAACTCCAAACAAACCAAACTTGTATTTCTCTTGATGATTTTATTTATTTTTTTCCGAATTTTTTCATGTGAACGAAGGTTAAGACTGATAGACGGTGTATTCCCACCGCAATTTGGGTCCTATTTCTACAAACATCTCCAAAATCCAGGACACATTTTATATCCCACACCATAGCCTGTACCCTGGAGATCCCTTTAATTTATGCAGCGTCTTTAATTCAAGCTTGTCTTGTTCATATATATGTATATGGACAAGCATTTAATTAATGATGATGAATTGTGTGTAACAGACTGGGTAGAGTATCAAGGTACTGGATATAGTAAATATACAATACATTGTTAATATAGTCATAAGATAACTACCATATAGTCGTATCAAATGACTAATGTAACACGGTTCCCGTGAGATATTTCAGGATATTCATCGGTCAGAAGTAATAGACAGGTTTTCATATTTAAGGCGCGTGACGCAAGCGAACGACGATTGGCTACAACAAAAGACTGTAGAGGCGTGGCTTTCGAACCCTTTCAGCTCATCGTCTTTTAATAATCATTTATGGTAAACAGAAGGTTTTTTGTTTTTAAAAGGGTTTGTTCGGTTGATAGTTGGGACGCTAACATTGTTGACATGGCTGCTAATGGCCATCTTTAAGGTGCGAGAAAGTAAAAACACGGATTCGGTAATTGATAAATGATGATATAAAAAAAGTCAAAGTTTTTCTTTTCCGTTGTTCATTGTGCATATCCACAAAAATAACAATTCCAGAAATACACTACTATAGATGATAAAATATGAGTCAACTCACAAACCTGATATTTTAATTCTTTTCTCGTGTCATGGTGATGAATTAGTATGGGGAAAGCGTATTATTGATCTAATGAACCCTTAAACTACAGTCGTTTATTCTGTCGTTAGCCGTGCCTTTCTAACACTTCCACTCGTGGTTTATCTTGACAGTTCTTTATTAAATTTCCTTCCATACAACTCCTGATTGTAAGTGACAAGTGCGTGTGTGTTGGATGAGTGTCGTGAAGACATAAAATAATCAGGGTCCCCACAAACCAGAAATGTCGGGGAAATAAAGGGAAGTGGACTGTTAGTCAGAGAAAATGAGGGAATTTTCTGTGTTACGGAACATGAAATAAAGAATAACAATACGGCAGTGGAATGTAAAATCATTTCTAATAACATGAAAGAAGAAAACATCGGAAGATATTCTCCATCCAGAGCATTTGTTGCTTTAGAGAGAAGTACATCTAGAAAATCCAGATATATTTCAATGTACAAATTAGGCTAAGGCAATATTTGATAATGTTGACAGGTGTTGACGACGTTGGTCATACCGAGATGTACGATGAAATTTATCTCACCAGAGTGAGAAATTTTTAACGTGCTATGGAGCTGTCATTAATGTTGTTTTAGCACAAGACTATGCAATGGGGTACACGCGCACTGCTCACTGCGGGGACTTGAATCCTGGATTTTAGCGTTGTAAGTTAATAAACTTATCAATGACCGACCGCGATGCTATAAGGTAATGTTTGTATTTGATCCTTAAAAGTTGGAGCCTATTAAATTAATGTATTATGTAACGTGTTTGTTTGAATGTACGTGTAGCTTGCTTCTATATTTGATGATTTAAAGGTGATTTATATCGTATGTGGTGGTTAGGTAGCTCTATTCGCAATCTGAGGGTCGCGGGTTCGAATCCCCGTCCCACCAAACATGCTCACCCTTTCAGCTGTTAGGACGTTATAATGTGACTATTCGTTGGTAAAATAGTAGCCCAAGAGTTGGCGGTGGGTGGTGATTAATAGCTGCCTTCCCTCTAGTCTTTCACCTAACACCACCCACTCTTGGGCTACACTTTTACCAAAGAATAGTGGGATTGACCGTACATTATAACGCCCCCATGCTGAAAGGGCGAGCATGTTCGATGATGGGAATTCGAATTTGCGACCATCAGCTCGAGCGCCCTAACCTCCAGGCCATGCCAAGCCCAAGTACAAAAGCTTTTAATTTGTGACTTATTTACTTGCCTTTATATGTCCATTTAAGTTTTACTTATGTAACATTTTGCACATTCATTCCTTTTCATATATGCGTATGTAGTTGTCCAATATATATATATATATATATATATGTATGTATGTATGTATATATAATATGCAATTCGTTAACTGTTTACCAACTAAAACTGTAATATCTTCAAGAAATACATTGAAAAAAGTTGTTGTTTTAGGTAAAGCTTCATGATGGGCTATTTGAACTCTGTCCACCGCAGGGAATCGAACCCCAGATTTATTCATTGTCATTTCGTAAACTACCGCTGATCCACCGGGAGACACATTAAAAACAAGAGGGAATCCTTAATAGCCGCGGCACTTGAAATTCTTTTAGGCAGGATTAGAGTAAATTAATTTACGAGACATTTTCTCCCCCTTTTTATTAGTTACCTTTTTGTGCGCCAGTGATACCAAGCGAGGGGCGTACGTATACTCGATTCGATTCTATTACTCATCATAATCTCTACCAGCCTACCCCCCAAATATATATCCTTGCAGGCAGGATTAGAGTAAATTAATCTATGAGACCGTGGGCGTGGTCAAATACATCAATCGAAAGGGTTTGACCTCCTGAGTTCAAATCTGTAATTAAATCTCAAATCGGCCAAGAGATGATTGAGCTATGAACTAAAAGTTTGTACTAAAAAAAACTCGGAGCCATTGTATGAACCGCTATAGCGCAGCTAAAAAAACACAGCTACTCTATAAAAATATCAAAGTGACGAAATCGATTGTGTAAAGATGTCATATAGCAAAACGTGTCATATTTGAATTACTTTGTGAATTCTTTTCTCCGCCATTTGTTTTTTTATGTTTTTGTCTATTTATATGGGCGCGTGTTTATTTTATTTCTGGTTAAGTTATTGGATTGAAGTCTCTTACGAATGACTGGGTTCTGAACGTATTGTACTTCTCAGTTCTTAGATAATTTCACTCATTCAGGCATGAAGCACTGGTACTGATCTTTTAATTAATTATTTATTCAAACGTAACGAATACATCTATTGATATAATAATCAACCAATACAGGTAAGTTGTGCAACTTAATTGTGACAGCATAACGTTAAATTAATTAAAATATTTATCTAACCCGCAGCTAAAGTGATTGAAATATGATAATTCGTTCATTCCATTCTAGCCCCACGATAAGCCTCATTGTATGTTATATTTGGGAAAGTTCCTCCGTAGAGTGATAAGACACCCAAGCTATGCATTGTGTTGTAGAAATAGCTTGGTGTGACGTACCTTAATTAAATATGGTTGATTACAATAAAAAACATGGTGGGGTGTCACATAATTAAATATGGTTGATTACAATAAAAAATGATGTGATGTCTCTTAATTAAATATGGTTGATTACAATAAAAAAATGATGTGATGTCCCTTAATTAAATATGGTTGATTACAATAAAAAAAATCATCCATTTTGTCTTTACGCTTATGTTAATCCAGTATTGGTGTATGCTTATAAATGAATGTTTTCAAGACGTGAATAGTCATACAAAATATGGTTAATAAAGTTAAATCCTTGTTATTCCAGAATTGCTGGGATCTAGTAAGAAAGGGATCATTAATCTCCAAGACACTGATGGGTAAGTTGTTTTCCATTGCTAGATGGTAAAATAAGAAGTTATGATCATATATATGATCGAGTATATCATGTATTCTATATATCGTGTACTTTTCGCCATCTTTAGTGACATAGAAAATTTCGTGTAGTTTTCTTCTGTGTAGGGTTTGACATAAGATCGCTTGGCCCAGAGTTGTTGGAGTTTCTCCATTCAAGTGTGAATTCATCTCTCTCTCTCTCCAGTTTTCCGAACGAGCATTACTTCGTGTGCTGGCGAAAAGATAGACTCACCCTTTTGTTGGCTGGAGAGAAGATACTGAAACGTTAGGAGAGAGAGTGGTCGTTCACGTGGTGAAGCCGTGAAAGACAAAGAAACAATAGTTACGTGGTTTCGTGCGAATTCAAAACATAATTTTTTAGGTCTTTCCTACTTTTGGCATTTAACGTGACTGGTTCTGCAGGGATGAAAAAGCTGAAGATGTAGTCACTGTGTTTGTATACAAAAAAGATGATTTTCATCGTCTTTAAAACGTGTATAATCTGTTTAATGCTCGCGCAACTTTAAATTCGGATAACTCGGCAAATATCCTGTTCGATCCTTCTATTTTTAGCGATTGTATCTTATAGTTGTATGGAAATTAGTTTACCTGAGAATACCATAAGTGGCCAGAAGAAAAGGAATGTTTCGTGCTATGATTGCTGTTGTATGGAAATTAGTTTACCTGAGAATACTATAAGTGGCCAGAAGAAAAGGAATGTTTCGTGCTATGATTGCTGTTGTAGGAAATTAGTTTACCTGAGAATACCATAAGTGGCCAGAAGAAAAGGAAAGTTTTTCGTGCTGTGATTGCTGTTGTAGGAAATTAGTTTACCTGAGAATACCATAAGTGGCCAGAAGAAAAGGAAAGTTTCGTGCTGTGATTGCTGTTGTATAATTAGTTTACCTGAGAATACCATAAGTGGCCAGAAGAAAAGGAAAATTCGTGTCTAGTGATTGCTGTTGTATAGAAATTAGTTTACCTGAGAATATACATAAGTGACGAGAAGAAAAGAA